AGTCCACAGAAGCAGAATGGGAGGCAGAGCCTTTAGCTATCAAGCTCCTCTCCTATGGAACCAACTCCCAGTCTCAGTTCGGGAGGCGGACACCCTCTCTACCTTTAAGATTAGACTTAAGACTTTCCTTTTTGATAAAACATATACAGTAGTTAGGGCTGGACCAGGTGTCCCTGAGCCTTCCCTTAGTTATGCTGTTATAGGCCTAGGCTGCTGGGGGGCCATGATGCTCTGCTCTGCTCTGCTCCTCTCCTCTCCATGCTTCTATATGCCACATCACTAACTTTGTGTCCCCTCTCTCCCGTAGTGTGTCCTCTCTCTCTCCCTGTACCTTTCTGCAGGTTGCCCTGGCCCTGGAGCTCTATGTCTCTGACTTGTTCTGCACCCTGTCGCTGAGACAAACTGATTTCTGATCCTGAGATTGCATGCAGCTTCTTCTGTAACGACAGAAGGCTTTATACAACTCTTTCACATATGCAGTAGTACTGCCTGAGAGCTGTAAACAGACCCTGTTGTGTAAAACGCTGGAGTTTCTTTTTAAACAAAGGATCTGAGCATTTTTTCCACCCCTGGATACGAACCTTCGATTTCAGAGATCTTTTTTTCCGTTTCCTTCTCCATGACTTTCTGTCCATACTTGATCTTTGCCACTTGTGCCACTTTCTCTGCCTCTACAAAACAAAACAAAAATCATATGCCAACCTGTACCGTGTTTCATTCACTTCTCCCTGAAGAACAAACAGTTGTTTCCCTTTTCTCTTTCTTACCCATCACAGCTTTGATCCTTTCCGTCTCTGCCTCCTTCTCCACCACCTTCTGTGTCTGTTGAGAGATCAGGAGCTTTGTCTTCTCGCTTTCCCTGCAAACATGAACAAACACGTTTTACACCTTCGCTCATTAGACTCTCATCATGAAAGCATGGTACAAAGCACAACAACTGGCATCTTGCTTCCTCTCCTGCTGACCTTGTTAAGGCTGGACACTATATCTTACTGGTGTGTTGAGTTTGGTAACAGTCTCAGCAACAGCTCAAGACACTATGATCACAGACATGACTGTCCTTTCACTATGGGTTTGATTACCTTCACTGTTAGATTTGGGCTGAATGAGTCATCCATTTCTGTTTGCCTTTTCTGGCACAACTTGGACAAAATTGAGCTTTCAGAAAAATGGCTTTTGGCTTTGATTTTGCCTTTTCTGGCACAGCTTGGACAAAATTGAGCTTTCAGAAAAATCAAGGAATCAATTATCATCAGTAATTTGATGCCAAATTAGTTTATTTGTGGCATGATCAAGATCAAAGCTTTTTTAGTTTTTATTGTTGTTCTTGGTTCCTGCCATTGTTTTACACAATACAATACAATTAATTTAAATTCCAGAAGAAACTCTTTAGCCCACATTTACGGAAAGTTAGCAAGTGGCTCAAAAATTCTGAAACTGCCATCAAGTCCATCTATCCATGGAACCTGTTGCCACCATGACCCGATCTCGGATAAGCAGAAGAAAATGGATGGATGGGTGGATCGATGGAAGCTGTGTTTTCACCCTCAGGTCAAACACCAGGAGAAACTGCTCCACAAACATCAAAACCATGTTTTCCAATCTACTAATCTCATTCACTGGTCACTTTGTGTAGGCCTACTGATAAAATACTTCATACAAACTGAGAACACAACCCAAAAAACAGTTACATCATCGGCACACTTGGATTTTTATTGCATAGCAAGTGAAATGCTCGCGCCGTAGAGCCCTGTATTTAACCAGCCAGCAACGTTCAGCACTACAGCCCCCAACAATAGCTCTTAGACCTTCAGAAAGTACTACCCACCCGGGGGTAGAACTACACCCTGGAACAAAATTTAGACCCTTGATCCTCTGGTGGAAATGCAGGTAGAGGAACTACATTCCAAAACTGGTGCCTCTGGTGGAAACAGGGCTAAACTCAGTAAGGGTGGACACTGGGAGTGGGCCTAAGACTCCAAGACTTCCAGCTCCAGACTTTTAAAGCAGCATCTGAACCCTGTGCTTTCATGGACAAAAAAAAATGCTCCTCTGATGCATAGGCACATTCTGAACTACTTCTTAGAAAGTAAAAGAATGCTCACCCAAAGTCTGACTGTCCACTGCATTTGTCAAGTGCTGCAGTGACTTATTGTTCAAAGCTGGATCAAGATGATCTAATGTTGGATTTTGCAAGCCAAAATTAAATTAAAAAAAGGCATTTTACCATGTGGAAGTGGTTAATTTCCTCTAAGTAACTCCCCACTGCCTAGCCATTGCTCAGCAGTTAGACAAGTGAGAACATGTTGTCATAAACCACTGGAATGTTGGCAAAACCTATAAAAAGAAGTCTCCTTCAAAAGTAAGCACTGCACCAGCACTCCAGTACCAAAAACAAACTAACCAAACACTGCAGATCTGTCATGCTACTGGTGTGGTGAGCGTAGTGACATTAATCCCAGCATAATCCTTACCGAATTTATGGGACAGCACTCCACTAAAATACTTTAAGGGACACGGTTATCTGTTCATCATAATGGCTTCTGGTTGTTAAACCCAGTCAGGTTTATGTTAACGTACAGTACAGCTCTATTAGCAGCAGCTGCATCTTGTTCAGAACACATTCATCTGTCAGCGATGACGCCGGTGTTTCAGCTGCACATTACAGCCGTGTTTCCACAGTCAGAACCTAATGAGCTTCCCTTTACTGTCACTTGGCAAAACCTCACTATTTGACGCAGACCATCCTACTTTGCTTCGCTGTATTCTTCTGCGTGTCATCTTGACGGGCTGCGCTCCTTCAGTAAAGTAGACTGTATGAGCAGTTTATCAAATAGCTGTTGAACAAGCAGAACACAAACTTGCAGAAATGTGATGTCTTCACCACGTTGCCTACAATCCACTTACTAAAGTCCCCGTTTCACCACTAAACCAATGAGTGAATGTCTGTCATGTGTATTGCTTTTCTTGAGTGCTTGGTCCAGGGGGATTTGTTGGGCTTTCCCTATAATACTGTAAAGTCTAGACATTACTATGTCCTTGTTGTTGTGAATTGGTGCTATAGCCTACAAATAAAATTCAAATGAACTGAATAACTTTCACAATAAAGATATCAACATCGTTCCAAATGCCAGCAGCAGGTTTTCATGGTCAACCATCATGGGGATATTGCTTTTATGACATTACAGAGAAACCGAGTTGCCCCTTGGCAGAGGTTGCACCCTCTGAGTGCTGTCTAGCTGTAACACAGTACAGAGCTGGACCCGCTACAGCTGCACCATACAAAAAAGTACACCTCCAGGTAACAAAGTAGACTGGTTGGAACCTGCTGATTGTGTTAGATGCCTCACATTGCTTCACTAAACCTGAATATAACTTAAGTCCTCTATTTCTTCTTGCCTCAGCAGCTGTGACTGAACACATGCTGTTGATGCTCACAGACTGTCCAGAAACAGCAGATACTTTCTGTTTGACTGGACTTGGCAGAGACAGCTGGATAAACAAATATACCCATCCATTTGGGATTGAAAACAAATACACAACACAGTCTACAGGGGCCAGGGAACATTATTTATTGGATACAGAAAACTCACATAAGCTCATAGTTCCTGCGAATGCTCTCGGGGATGTTGGGTTTGGTGACACGGATGGCCTGTGGTCCAGTGAGAGGGAGACAGAAACAGACAGATACTGTGAACCAAGATTACGGGAAGGGGCAGATTCAATAGACCACTCAGTCATAATGTTACACTATATCAGACTGTCCTCAAAAAATGTTCCTTGTGTTGGTATGATAAATGCACCAGTAGATGGACATACTAAAGATTGAAAAGGATGATTCAAGCTGTGGACTGAAAAAAGACTTGTTATCAAGGACTCGGTATACAGTGTTCCATTAGGCTGACATTCCTGTTCATAACTTAAACATCCTGGTTCTGCACTGCAGTCCAGAGTGAGTTTACAGTAGATGTGTTTAAGTTTTTAAAGTACTGTATCCTTCAAAAGAGAGACAAAACGTTGAGAAATGGGACTGTCATAGTGGAGTTAAACACAAATCCTATACTAAGCTTACTGTATTTCGGTTCCTCAAGTATATCAGGATTTTATCACAGACTGTTTCACAACAATAGGTAACTTGTTGAAGCAGGCGTTTCCATCTGTGGATACTCATGCTTAGATATCAGTTCAGTGCATTCCTGAAGTAATTCTGTGATGAAATTGTGTAGTTTTGCTCTGTCTCCTTTTCATAAACCTGCCTTGTTTTCACTTTCAGTTTGCAATTAACTACGTTTCCCAGACTACCTCAGTCTAGACTACCGGCTTTCTAGGGATCTGACTTAACCTGTATGATAAGTCCAGGTGCCATGGTTGTTAGATCCTCCTGTAACGTCAGCTTCAGGTTTTCATCGATTTGGTCTGTAGGGGGAAGTACAGAACAGATGCAGGGATGATGGGTGAGCTGGTGATTTCAGTAGAAGTGGTCACTTTGATTTCAAACTCTGTACATTGTAGATGATGTCATACATGCAACATGTGACCTGCTGGATTCTTTTATCTGTTAAAGCAATGTTTTGTTATTTAGACATCATCTAATGTCTTAGAGTGCATATGCATCAAATGGCAACATGTTAAATTAGAATCTTTAATTCTTTTTGTTGGAGATTACGTTATTTATTTAAGTAGTTGGCATAGATTAAAATTTCTAATACAAGGAGGGAGACAGGTTATCAGAATATCTTTCATAATGTTGGACTTGTTTTGGAATCAGTCTCCTCTTCCTGTCTACAGCTCATCACATGATGTACTGTGCTCCTGCTATTGGTTAAGGCAGCTTAGCGAGGTAAAGGGAATGCTTGGTTTGATGCAAAGCATCTCCCCGATAATGCAAACACAGCAGAATCATTGTCATGTGAGACCAAGATCACACAGGGATCTAAATCACACTCACAAAAGGATTTATCATGCAGCCCTATGAAAACACATTACATTTACACAAAAAGGCACATGTCTCAAAGGGGCTTTGGAGTCAGGGCCAAAAACCATTATATCTACACTTGACTCTCTGAGCACAGGCGTGTTTTATGTTGGGCTTCAACTGAAAACAATTAAACAGTACAGAGACAATGGTGAACACAATGACATTTACTATACAGCCAAGTTATGAGTTACAGTGCCTTGCAAAAGTATTCATACCCCTTGAACATTTCCACATTTTGCCACGTTACAACCACAAAATTAAATATATTTTATTGGGATTTTGTGTGATAGATCAACACAAAGTATCACATAATTGTGAAGTGGAAGGAAAATGATACGTGGTGTTCAAGATTTTTTACAAATAAAAATCTGAAATGTGTGGCGTGCATATGTATTCATCCTCCCTGAGTCAATACTTTTACTGCTCACTATGTATCATTTTCCTTCCACTTCACAATTATGCGATACTTTGTGTTGATCTATCACACAAAATCCCAATGCTGACACTTCCGGCTTTTCCTGTTTAGGGGTCACCACAGCGAATCGTCACACTGATGACTCGCATGTTGACATTTGGCACATGTTTTACGCCGGATGCCCTTCCTGACGCAACCCTGATTCAAACCTGGGCTACAGCGACTTGAGTGCTGCGCCTTAACCACTAGCCTACCAGGGACGACTATCACACAAAATCCCAATAAAATACATTTATTTTTGTGGTTGTAACATGACAAAATGTGGAAAAGTTCAAGGGGTATGAATGAATACTTTTGCAAGGCACTGTAACTCACTAATATCTAACAATAAATACTACTAACCCATCAAGTTTGTTGAATCTTTTAAAACCAATGAAGTTTCCCAAGCAATAAGTAATTTGTCTGAAAATAAGACTACTGGGCTGGACCGCATTTCTGTTGAACATCTTAAGTACGCTAGTCACAGGTTGTCCCCTCTTCTAGCCATATGCTTTACTGCCTCATGCACGGGTTTCTGCCTGACTCTTTAATGTCAGTACTTTTAGTTCTATGGTGAAGGATAAAGCAGGGAAGGTGGGCAGCTCGGATAATTATAGACCTATCGCACTTGCTAATATTCTTTCAAAAGTTGCTGAAGAACTTCTTTTGAGTAGGTTTCACAATCTCATTAGCTCCACTGCAAACCAATTTGGGTTTAAAACAAACCATGGCACCGACATTTGAATATTTGCGCTAAAGGAATTAGTCAGTAAATATAAAAGTAAAAACTCCTCTGTATTCATGTGTTTTTTTAGATGCCTCCAAAGCTTTTGACCGAGTGAATCACAGGAAATTATTCCAGAAACTGTGTGACGCCCAAGTACCTAAATATATAGTGAGATGTTTGACATATTGGTATGCCCACCAGACTATATCTGTCAGATGGGATAACTGTATATCTGCACCCTTTCAGACCTGTAACGGGGTAAGACAAGGTAGTCTGCTTTTCCCAATTTTGTTTAATTTTTACATGAATGATCTCTCTAAAGAGTTAAATATGTACAGAACAGGATGTATGGTTGGTGGTATAGTAGTGAATCATTTAATGTATGCAGACGACCTTGTGATTTTGAGTCCCAGCTCAGCAGGTCTTCAGCAGCTCTTGAACGTGTGCTCAGTGTTTGGAGAATGTCACGATGTCAAGTATAATGCTGTCAAAAGTGTCATTATGATATGCTGTACAAACGAGGATAGGTTCCTTGTATATCCTTCTTTTAAGTCATCTGATAATATTTTAACTGTGTGTAATGAAGTTAAGTATTTGGGTCATGTCATTAATGATTGTTTGTCTGATGACAGGGATATATATCGGCATGTTATATGTACAAGCTAATGTACTGGCACGGAAATTTGGTGCATGCTCGGTGGGAGTAAAATTGGCTTTGTTTAAAGCTTATTGTACTTCCTTGTACACTGCTCATCTGTGGTGTAATTATAAAAAGGGCAGTCTTCGGAAACTGTCAGTGGCTTATTGAAAAAGCCTCAATATGGACAAGTGCTAGCGAACTGTTCGTGTCATTTCGAATTAGTACATTTCTCGCTGTTTTATGAAATTTGATGTATAAATTTATCCGTCGCTTGAATGGTTCTGGAAATCATATCATTTTATTGCTGACTAATGTTGCACACAGTGACATGTGTTTTACTTCTGCTCTCTGGAAACACTGGTATACCTGTCTTTGCAAGGGGTAGTAGTTTATGGTTGTTTTCTTGTTCTCGTTTTATTTTATTTTATATTGTTTCTTTTAACTGTTCTTTTATTGTCTATTTGTTCTAATTTGGACCTTGAGTCTATAATAAAGTGTCAATCAAATTCATTCCATCAGTCTCTGAATACAACTCACACTGATCTATTCTAACACAGCCAGAAAATACTTTGTAAAAGACAAAGGGTGATGCCAGAGAGCTCAGGGGGTTCACAACAAAGCCATCAAAGGTGCTCTCTTGCAAAAAGGACCAAAAACAAGCAGATGAAAAGAAGAGTGAATCAAAGGCATTTGTTCTTCTGAGAAATAGTAAAAAGCCTTTATTCAGATGGCTCTTGCCCAAACTGTAACCTTGTCTGAATGAAGGCAAATTCCTATTTTTCAGAAGAGCTCCTTTGATTTTTTCATATACTTTCAGTTTGGTTACTGTGGCCACAAATGTACTCATATGATAAATGGTTGTGAGAGTTTCCAGTAATTTGATTCTTGTGTTTACAATCTGTGGACTGCTGCAAAGCGAACAGCTTGTAACATTTACAAGAGTGGGTACAAATACAGCAAATATCACATCTACATGCGTAACAGCTGTTTTGTGTAGCAGTAACGACACCAGACAGGAAGTCTGAATTCTCCTACAAGCTGACCACAATCTGTTCGTGTAGATATACTCTTACAAAAGAGCATGCTAGTAGTGAGCGTACAGTACGCCAAGTCTGCAGCTCATCACACTTACCGAACAAGCCGATGTAGACCTCCTGCAGTGAGTGAACGCTGCAGAACTGGTTAAGCTCATGATGAACCTTGTTGAATATCAAAGCTTTGTCGTAGTCTGCTGTGAAGTTCCTCACTATGTCGTACACTGCAGAGAGGACAAGTGCTTAATCAAGTCAGGAAAGACAGCAGGCACAGAGCACAGCAAAAGAAGTGGTTCTGCTGGAGCCGGTGGCAACAAATCATTTTCAGATGTTCGAGTTACCCACAGCTGCAGAATCCAAAAGAAATAATATGGGAGACTGGGAAAAAGACAAGACAAATGAAAGGAAAACCCAGTGTCTGGTGGCTTAGTAAAGTGCTGACTCTCCCAAGTCTCTGAGCTCTACTGGAGGGATGAACACCATTTTTTCCAAAAGATATTCCCTCATGTTGTGCTTTGACGATGGTGGTGGAGACGCTGTCCAACACGTCACTCCAACATCTCCCATATGTGTTCTGCTAGGCTGAGATCTGGTGACCGTGAAGGCCACAGCATGCGATTTTCATCATTCAGTGAATGTTCTGTTGATGGGGGCACTGTCATCCTCAATGAGACCACTCACTGATTTAGGGTTTTCCTTCAATTTGCCACCCGTCTATACACCATTTGATGGTTTTGACCTGTTGAACACTAGTGAGTTTACCTGCTGAAGGATGAAGATAGTTTACCACTTCTATACGGTCAAAGTAAATCATCACTCCTCCACTGAAAGAAAGAAAACAGGTAACATAATAAGAGTTTGACAGTTTTATCCAAAACACCGGTAGTAGATTAAAATGACTGTATTTTTAGCTTGGGTGACGCCAGTGGGTCAGACATGTGCTGATGAACCAGGGCACAAGATGAACGCTCAGTCCATTAAGTCTCAAGACCACATATGACACCACTTAAATAAATTAAAGCAGCAGACCCACCTTATGCCACATGGCACATTCTTCACCTCATCTGTCTGCAGTGTTGTCTGCAAAGGAAAAATAAAGACTCAATACTTATTTATTTTATTACACAATAAACATGAACCTGATTTATTTTTGTTGCCTTTGCTGTGTCTTCTGTAGGTATTGTGAATACTTAGGCTCCTTAGTAACCGCAAGCAAACGTCCTGGTCCATCCTGTTGCCACTGAGCATCTTTAACTGTACCAGTGGGTTTTGTCAACAGGATGGCCTTTGTTTTTGCTCATGTAGTGGTGTCCATGAAATTACTGGATGCACATTCTAAGATAGGTTGGGTTTGGTGTACCATCACTTAGTTATAGGCCTAGACTGAGGGTCCTCCCATGATGCTCTGAACTCCTCTCCTCTCCATTTTATTTTTATATGCCACCACTGCATGTGGCTTTGTGTCTCCTCTCTCCCTTAGTGTGTCCTCTCTCTCTCTCCCTGTACCTTTCTGCAGGTAGCCCTGGCTCTGGAGCTGCATGTTTCTGATGAGCAGTCACTGGCCACATCAACCTGCCCAGTGTTTGTTTGTTCCTTTTTGTGTCTTCTTGCTTTTCTTCTTTTCTCTCTCCTCTATCCACTCATCCAAATCAGTTGAGGCAGAAGGCCGCCCACCAAAAGCCAGGGTCTGTCGGAGGTGTTTTTCCTCCTCGCTGTTGCCAAGTGCTTGATCAAGGTGGATTTGTTAGGTAATACTGTAAAGTACTACTTAAAATGCCCTGAGATGAATGTTGCTGTGAATCGGTGCTATATAAATATAATTGAATTGAAAAACTGAATTGAATACATAAGTATTAATTCATGTTCAATATGCTAATGAGTCCATTATTATTAACATCTGTTATGTCAAACACGCACAAAAGGTGTAATCTTGATGTTAATGTATACAAGATATCTTGTCTGTTTCTCCCAGGAAAAACAGCCCCATTAAAGAGTTTTCACTTATATGAGCTGAGGCTCTAAGGTTAGTGGATGACGTACTGGACACGTCAGTGATTTGTCATATCAGGTTATATTTAAAATGGACCTGTCTTGACTCACCTGGACAGGCTTGTAGGTAGTAATGAATGGAAGCATAAGATGGAAACCAGGGCCGCTGGTGGTGGTCAGGAGAGCCCCGCCCCTGTGGCCACACACACACACACACACACACACACACACACGTCACAACAGAAGAAAACTCCTGTGGAATTCAGCTTGTAATGAAAACAAATCTGATTACTTCTGGTAAGATCAATTAAAAATTTAGATCTAAGCCCAGACGTACATACGACTTGAACTAACATTCATTTAGAAGAAAATTGATGTTTGTAGTCACTGTTAGCCCTAAAATGCCTTTACTGTTCTTTATGCCCCTGCAAATGCTAAGTACAGAACCACAGCTGTCACTTCTGGCAAGCTCAATGCCCAGGTATTCGCATAACTCACAGTAGAACTGTTAAGTAGCTCATGGCAAACACCTTGGAAGCAGGTGCTCTTGGTTTTATACAGCTGTACAGTTTAAAGTCTCAGGCACTAAATAAAAAAAACAGTGTGTGCTGCAGTCTTACCTGTAGTAAACTCCAGTGTGTCCCTCATCAATCTTGTGCACAGAGGCTAAGAGCGCCGCTCCTCCAAGTGCAGCAATTATTGAGAACACGGCACCCCACTGTGCCATCCTGGCCGCACACACAGGAGACAATGTGTGAGAATGAGCAGATGAGAATCAGCAGAGTTTTCTCTCTTGGTGTTCTCACAGTGCCCTGCCTTAATTCCACTGGGAGGTTCAGGCACTCTTCCATCTAAACAAACTCATAAACTGTCTGTCCATCCTGTAAACCTGACCTGCACTCAGTCAGCAGCTTGTGTAGCTGACTAAGCCCCAGACATGTCTCCAAGTCAAACTGTTTAGACCGTAGACCTTCCAACTTCCCTTATGTATTAGGTCGAAGTATAGATGTACTACATCTCTCCTCACTGTGTTGGACTGCGTTTTATGTCAGTCAGTGCGTGACAATATTGGTCTGCAATAGTGAGGCACAAACGATTCAAATAACAGAAACGAAGATAAATCAAAGTGACAACAAACCAACAACGGCTTGGCAGAAAGAAATACACGCATGTGTAACAAAGATGTGTAAGTTAACTGGTAACGACACCCCCCTTTTTGACAGAACAGAAAGAAATATTTTGAAATCTCTTTAACGTGTTGCACGAATATATGTCGTCTGACATATAAATGAGCGACCAGTCCGAAACTGTCTGATTAAGTCGTAAGTTTGAGAAAAGTGGCGAACAGCTTCCTCTACCTCACGGATATGGGACGTTATGCCAAATGGAAATATTTGCACAGAGTCGCAAATAATCAAATTATGACGGACCGGTAGAGTTATAAGAAAGCCTACGTAAAATTTCGCAACATTTGAATGGAATTCGGCATAGAAAGCTTAGGAGCTAACCACTTTAGCAGGACGTGAGTTACTATATTATTGGTGTCTCAAACAAAGGAGCCTCTTCTACTGACAGACCTGTTTATACATAACATCAGTTACCTATTTGTCACAGCCTACACTTTGCTGTCAGCCTCCAAACACAACACTAGACCAAATACTGATGAATAGCCTTCGCTACAAGTTAGCATAACAATCCGAGAACGTTTTTCTTCTTTTGACATGCTAGTGCCACATTACGCTAAGATCCTAGATCCTTTGTTAAAGTAGACAGTAACACGTGTTTTTCTTGCTTAGTAGTTCTTACCTGTCACGTTAAACTCAACCAAGGTGACACCACCAACAAGTCTTTGTACAGGTACCTCAAGCACCTGCTACTTTCTTCTTCGATACTGTGGTACTGTAGTACTGTGGTTGCATTAGCGCCCCCTGGACAACACCTAGTGAACAGCTTCTGTCCGTCAGCCATAACATTATGACCACCTGTCTAACTCTGTTTACATAGGAGTCAATGTGGCAGTTGTTTGGCACTCGTGTCACTCTGCAGCTCACTGTGCATCTTCTGTGAATAACGTATGTAAAAGGAGTGAAAACTGTGGTCGTGAAGACAAGTTAGATTGTTTTAGACCAATTCAACAGCCTCCCCACTCTAGGTGTGATATCACCACTACAGCTCCTGACTCTTTCTCTTCATAGAGACCAATGTACAGTATTTCTCATTTTCAATCATTTTAACAAAGATTCAAATCAATTTTAATATTTTTAAAAGTACAAATGGAAGTTAAAAGTTTAGTCTACAGTAGATCAACCTCATCATCAGTGAGCCATGGGCGTCCATGACCCTGTCTCCAGTTCACCATTTGTCCTTCCTTAGACACTGTTGGTAGGTACTAACCACTGCAGACCAAGAACACACACCAAGACCTGCAGTGTGGGAGATGATCTGACCCAGTCATCTCACCATCACAGTTTGGCCCTTGTCATAGTCATTCAGATCCTTACACTTGCCCATTTTTCCTGCTTCCAACACATCAACTTCGAGGACTGAATGTTCACTTGCTGCCTAATATACCCCACACACACTGACAGGTGCCACTGTAACAGATAGTTACTGTTTTACAGTAGAGCTGAAGCAGGGCAGTTGGCATTATTTTAGTGCCCACCATGCTGCCCAGTAACCTCTCCAAACAGTGACACTGTGTGGCTGTTTCATTAAGGGTCTGGTGGAGCAAGCAGGGAGAGGGAGGGCTGGGCAGAGCAGAGGTGATACTTTTCACATTAATAAATTGATAATCTTACTCACGTAAAGGACTACTTGTTCCACATCTGCTTCTGGCATTTTAAAATCAGACTATTCACTGTCTGATTTAAGTATCTGTTTGATGTGTTTTTAAAGGTTTCTCTTAATACATCACTTTGACATTTTCATTTGTTAGCTCTTTTGTTGGATTACAACTTCTTGTGCATTTCCCTAAAGCAATTTAAAAATGAATTCACCTTATTTCATTCACTTCCCCAATATAAACAGCAGATGGCGACAGAGACCAGGATGATATGCACTGACTCATTTCCACTGAAATGTACTGAGAAAGCTACAGGCTCCTGCTACTTCAGTCTGCCATCGTTTCCCCATTAAAATTGAACAGACTCTCACTGTTACATTGCAGCAGGTGTTTATTTTAATCACTCATTAATTTGCAGTTGATAAGGTTAGCAAAATCAAGAATTTAGAAAATCAGCTGGAACCTAACAATTAAAAAGAGCTATCACTGCAAAACTCACAGCCTATTTATTTAATCTTCAATCAGTGAAAAGTCTCCAGAAGTGATGCGCTATTAGGGGTCTTGACACTAAAATGGCTGTGGCACTCAATTTTCAGTCATTGGCCTCTTGAGAAATTTACGAAGGACCAGAGCGAACCCTTAGATGCTGCAGTGTCAGCTCAGTGCCGTGCATTTTAAGCAGGGATGGGTGGGGTGGTGGAAAGGAAAGGGAACAGCAGAGCAAGGGAAAAGAAGTTTGTCAGAGTTCATTAAGTATCAAGGGAACATCGCTGGAACTGGCAGCGTAAGCCGCGCCGGGGCCCTAGTGCCATTAATGTAGTGATTATAGAACAGGGTCCAAGCAGTCTGGGCCATGGGGTGCTGAAGGCCATAGAATTCCTCACACAGGTCCCACTCACACCATCATAGATTGGCATGTGAGTCCAGGTTTTGAACACCCGCAGCTGTAGACTACGGAATGTTTTGGTAGGAGAGGAGAAGCACGGTGCAGTGAAGAGGCTGGTTCTCTCCCTTTGTGAATTGCACCCTCTCTCCCTCATTTATATGGGCTGAGCCTCTGGCTTAATAGCATGCAGGAAGAAGAGAGCTGGAAGTACGGCAGTAACAGAGTGTCGCCCATATATCTCTGTCAGCCTGCCTTACTTTCTCTCTGCAGCCCCAGAAATCTGGTGGTAACTCGCCACACTGCTGCCACCCTGGAAGAAGAAATAAATGGGAGAGAGAAAGAGAGGGGAGAAAAGAAAGACGAGAGCCTGTGACTCGTGAAGATGGAGGCCTCTGTTAAGTGCTGTGCTTGAAAGCCCGTCCAGCCTCATTAGCTGTCAGTTGTAACAATACTGAGCTGGCAGCGAAGACTGCTCCCAGTCTCGGTGCCATAAATCACAGCCTGACAGGGCCCTGACAGGGCTGGGAACCAACACACATGCAAGACTTGCTTGCTTTCTGTTTCTCTACTGTTCCCTTTTCTTTCTCTTCTCTCCCTCTTTTCAACTGCTCATTCTTTTTCCTTTTTTTATCCTCCACTCCCTCTCTCTTCTCTTTCTTTGGCAGCACCACTCCCTTTCTTTCTTTTTCTTTTATCTGTCCCACTCTCTGTCTTTCATGCTGCAGACAGCCCAGGACACATGTGCTCTTACAAAAACACAAGGTTTCTGCAGCACTTTTTGGATGTCCCATACATAAGTGTGTTTGACAGGACAGGGTTCAAATTGTCTGTAATTCTTTGATGGATGAGATGTGTTCACTGTGTAGT